GGCAAGGATCACATTTCGCGATTGAGGAAACATTCTATACAAATACACAGCAAAATAAATGAATTTCGCAGCGATTAATATTTTCTAGTCAAAGTAGGTAGCGAAACTTACAGAAATTTCATGATTAAAAGTTGATTAACAGTAGTTTATATAAGATCTTTATAGACACTGAAGTACATATTGTTACTTGATTTTTTTTTTTTGGTTTTATTTTGTTTTTGAATCATTTGCCTAAAGAGGGTTTTTGGGTTTTTTTTGTAAACTGCTTTCATTGGAGATCTTTAGGCCTATCAAATTGATAACATCTTTATTTGATTTCATTTCAGGTGCCCGTGAATCAAGAAACATGTCAGCAGAGCAAACAGAGGGTAAATATTTAGTGAATTTTATTTAATGTTTTCATGTTTCTTAATGAAATCGTATCTCATTCAGATCAATGGGAAGCATTCCAACTTTTTGGTTGGTGCCCCGGAAGGGTCAGGGCACAACCAAACACATGTATAATGGTATTTCCATTTTGGTGTGGGGCACTAGTCTACTTAACAAAAATTCCTTGACAAGCAAAATAAAAAAGGGCTATCAGATGTAATAAATGATGCCACCCACACAGTAGTGTTTTCTAGATAGTGTATATCAGCCTCGATCACCCCCCCTCCCCACATTCTGTCTCGTTAATGATTGTTTTACTGCCTCAAACACCAGTGCTGTTGGCCAATTAAAATGTGTGTTACAAAGCATTTTCATTACAATATATATTTCATGTAGATTTGAAGGCATTTGAAAGAAGACTAACAGAAGTAATTGACAAACTGCAACCTACAGCAAGGCTATGGAGAAGTAAAACTTTTACTTTTAACTGATTGATAAATTGATGTTTATGAAAATAATTTCAGACAGGCTGGAAAAGATACCTCAAATAACTGAGATCTGTTCATTAGCTAAGCCTTATTATAACTGAAAACCCTTTTGAAAATTATATCTCAGGCAGATTTATCAACTGTGATTTTGCTTGAATTATTAGTATGAATTTGTGTTAAGAAATATATGAAATTTTCACAGAGTTGTGTCGGTAATTCACTCTTAGATTTACCTTATACCAGGATGAAGAAAACTTTAAAATTAATCCAAAGAGAATTTTTTGCATTTTTTTACCTTGTATTTCCTACAATTGAAGTTTTTCTTTTTTTTCAGTGGTACTCATTGTTATCTCTGTGTGTACAGCTGTAGGAGCCTGGACCTGGCTCTGGGACTCCCAAACAAAACAGGTACCTATAATTACTGTAAACAATATTCTCTTCACACAAAACAGGTACAGTAAAACTTCTCTAAACCGACCAGCTGCCGGACTGGATAAAATGGCCGGACTAGAGGGGTGGCCGGTTTCCCGAGAATCTAACATACTGAAGAATTGCAGATCTATTTGACAGATGCTAGGAAAAATATATAATTGGTGTCAACATGTTATTAATTACGACTGACATGTAATGTATTCTTAAGGTCTAAAAAATGTGAATTATTATTAGTGAGGATAAATTCGACATACATGTTGATTTTTATAAAAAGAAATTAAAAAATAACAGAAAAGACATTGGAAAGTTATTTTTATTGACCATATGCGAAGAAATAAACCAGACCTTTTACCTTATCTGGATTCAATACAGTATACTGCATGTATCTGTGTATCGCTTACATCATTAAAAAATAGTTTGTACTTCAGTGAAAAGTAAATAAGTTATACATTTCTGAGCAAAACTTCTGTTATTTTAATTATGAAATGTATATTTTGGTAAACATTTTATTTTTATTTTTTTTTCTTAGCATTTTTAACAATGTCCATTTGTGTATTTAAAAAGATGATGCAATATGGCGTGCGATAATTTCTTGATTCATTCTGTGATTTAAATTTATTAGTTGCTTGATATTTTATTAATTCAAGTTGAATTGATGTTAATCATATGTATACAACTTCGACCGGCCATTGACATAGTCTGGCAAGATGACTACCCCTTCAAGATGGCTAAACAATAGAAAACCCTATGAGGCCAATTCAGTTTTTCACACCTCTGACTTCTGTTGGGTAGGCTATTTTTCACACCTCCGGCCCGTCATTATTACCCCTCTGGCCAATGACAGTTAAACTTCTTGCAATCAAAAAGTGGCCGGTATGATGAGGGGAAATTTCCTATGTTTCTTAACTTTTGTTCTTGGAAAATTGGCCAGTGTCCGGTTTTTAGGGGTGGCCGGTTTTATGAGATTTTATGTGTAATGAAATGTTAAGAATTTTGCCGGGACTTATAAATTTGGCCGATGTTCAGGGAGAACCGGTTTCCAGGGGGGCCATTTTGGAGAAGTTTCACTGTACTTATATTTACTGTAAATATACTAAATAATATCCTCCTCAAACAAAACAGGTACTTATAATTTAATACTGTAAACAATATCCTCCCAAACAAAAAAGGCACTATAATTACTGTAAATAATATCCTCCATAAACAAAACAGCTACTTATAATTTCTGTAAATCATATTGTCCTGGCTGCCAAACAAAAAAGTACTTATAATTACTGTAAATAATATCCTCCTCCCAAACAAAACAGGTACTTATAATTACTGTAAATTATATATTCATCCCAAACAAAACAGGCACTTGAATTACTGTAAATAATATCCTGCTTCCAAACAAAACAGTTACTTATAATTATTATTGTAAATTATATATCCATCCCACACAAATTGGGTAATTATAATTACTGTAAATAATATCCTCCTTCCAAACAAAACAGGTACCTTTAATTACTGTAAATTATATATTCATCCCACACAAAAAAGGTATTTTTAATTACTGTAAATAATTTCCTCCTCCCAGTCCCAGACAAAATGTTCTTATAATTACTAAATAATCTCATCCGCCCAAACAAAACAGATTTTTATGATAACTGTAAATACTACCTCCCAATTCTTAACAACAATGCTTAAGTTAATTAAATACAATCCTCCACCCAAACAAAAGGGGTACCTTTAAATACTGTACATACTATCTTCCAATACTTTACATTAGTGTATAGCTAAACACTATCCTCCTCTCAAACAAAACAGGTATAATTAATATATTTATGAAAAATATGGAGGTAACGAACAATACATGTATTCAAGCTCAAAAGTCCATTCAAACAATACGAATCGGGAGCAAAGCAAACACAGACCTTTATTACTATACTCTCTTCCCGTACTAAACATTAATGTTTAGTTAAACACTATCCTCCTCCAAAATAAAACAGGAACTTCTCTTCCCATACTAAACAGGCAATTTTTAGTTTATGTATAACAAAACAAAATACAGTTTAAGAACAATTTATTACTAAAAATTCCATATTGGACATTGGGGACTGACAAGGTTTACAGTTAAACAAAAACTTTCAGCTATTAAAATAAGCACTGAAAGCATATACACCCCAAGTCAGGGTGAGAAAAATTTACAGTTTGAATTTAATATATGTTGCAAAAAAAATGAAAAGACACACTCTGCAATGAGTGTTAGCATCTAATCTTCATAAACTAAAAAAAAAGACACTTTATGATCGTATCCTAGTGTATAATGATATGTGGTTCTGATACCATATATATGCTTCTACTATTTGCTTTTACTGTAGATAGTTACTAAGAATTCCCAGGAGACCTTGTTGATAACAGTTTACCCTTCGAATATTATTTTTATCGTTGCAGATCTCACTCACTCAATCCCTGATGAACCATCCATTTTTCACCATCAGCTGTTTTTTCCTCATTCTCCTGTTTCTTTGTGGAATCCATAAAAGAGTTGTTGCACCCTCAATGTATCCTTTATTATAAATCAAAGTGCTCTAAATTCACAACATTGAAACATTGGTTTTATTGCCCCATTGGTGGTGGTGGGGGATATAAAAAGCTCCTAGAGAACAGCACAAATCATTGCCCTCAAGGCAAGGACTGAGGCCCAATGTGAGGTTCAAGCACATTTTGCCAAAAATGTTTAAAAAAGAATAGTAGGACAATGGAAAGTCTTCATCCAGATGCACAGTTTTGTGTATTACTGTAAACCAACTTTTATTCGCGACGACTTTATTTCGCGATCAACCGGTGGTAAATTAGTTTGCGACGAGAAATTTTCGCGATCAAGTCTATTTAGGTTATGTTGTTAATAGACATATAGATTTGAAGAACCGGTTCGCGGCGAGAAATTTTCGCGATGACGAGACTCTCGCGAACTTCGCGAAAATTTCTCGCACGCGAATAAAAGTTGGTTTACAGTAATTTGGGAATATTTGAAATTACAATAGGCTTATGGATACATTAATTCTTATTTTATATTCAGTTGTTAAAGTTTAATTTGTTTACTTGTAGCTACCTGTAGAAAATGCAAATTCTTGCCAAATTCAATTTAATTCAATATTCTATGGAGGTTGAAAATACTTTTTTATAAAGTACATCGCTATTAAATGAAAAAAAAAGTACTTAGCCATGTTAAGTATTGGATCTAGGTGTCGACAAGTTTTAACAGACTTCAATATGTCATGTGATGAGGTAAGAAAATCATTTTCATTTAAAAACAACATTGAATTGTTATTTGAAGTTTCTGTAAAAAAAAATTAGAATTTGATTTAGATTTAACAAAAAATCTATTGTTAAAAAATGAATCTTTTATGGTAATTCATATTCACCCTTCACTCTCCTATGTTTAATTGTCAATTACCAAATTATAAAAGTGTAAAAGTTCCTTTTAACTTATACTTGAAGTACTTTCAGTTAGAGTATCAGTATTGCATATTGTTAAGATATTTGTAAAATTCAGATCTCATCAATAATATTTCTTTTCAGACGGGCAAATTAATTCTAAAACCTCGACACATATAGCATCAACATATGGCATAACCAGTCTCCCACTCATTGTGAATACAGCATCCTTCCATACTGTTGTGTAGATTTATCTGCATAGCAATGCAGTTAATAAAACAATGCATTATTTTGATGCCTTGTGATGATACCAAATTGCAGTCAGACTTTTGGAATATCATCCTGTTGTGATGTCATAAAGTGCTAAAAATACATTGCTTTTATAGACTACTTCATAATAATATACCAATATTGGGTATAAGACATTTTTTTACTCATCATGTGTTCAAAACAGAATTAAATGAGTATGTTATCATTTATTAAAAAAATATCGTTTTAATGAAAGAGAGAGCATTTATTTTGGTTTCAGCTGGAATATGGGAACTTTTCATATTTAAATCAAAGTACTCAGAAGTACAGAGAGCCGGGCTCATTTACAGAGTAGAATGGATTTTTTTTTTTTTACATGAATCACGTTTATATTCTGATGAAAAATTATTTTAAAACTATCAATATAAATGATAAGACACTGACAGTGAGTTTTTCAATCCTAACACCAGAATCAGAATTAATCTGGTACCGCAGCTGAATGTAAACAAACAGGCTAGTCTGGTTCCCTCTCCTGCTTTACCTCGTATGTGTAGAGAACTACGGTAACACTAATTATCAAAAACCTTTACGCTAACGAACTATGTTCTTTGACTTATGAAGTTTTCAAAGTCATTACTACTAATGATTATTTTATATAGATAAAACTTCGTTTTATTTTTGTTGCTTTATTTATCGTTTGTATTATCTCAAAAGCGGTTGAGAGTAAGAACTATATTTTTGCACGTAACTTTAAAATGGCGACTATTGGGTCAACATCCTGCCTTGAACAGGATCACATAAGCCGGCAATTGCTCTTTGAGCAATAAGCCCGGCTAAAAATGAAAATTTCATTGATTCACATGAAATTTTAACATTTTATTGATGAAAATGTATCAAGTTCCTGTGATGTAGAAAAGAGAAATATGTCCTGGTATTATGATTTTATGAAATGTAAGGTTTATCTTAAAGATACATACTGTAAAATCTAATATTTTTGTGGGGTCATTTTGGAGGATTGAGGAAAATATAATTGGTTTGTGGGGACTTGAATTCATGGTTGGAGAGTGATTAGTAGTAATGCTTATGAAACATTTAATTTTTTGGTAATCATAAATTAATAGGTTTCCTCATGTCTCGAAATCAATGAAATTTTAACCCCCACAAAAATTAGTAATTTCACAGTATTAATTTAAATGTTAGAACATGAAATTCAATTTGAAATAATCATTGGAATTTCATGTAGATTTTTTACAACATGGGAGATTGATGATTGTACAGTTAACTATAGAGCGGCAAAATCATTGTTGAGGGGGAGGCACCTTCGCCCTCAACATTTACCCTGCTTGGGAGATTCATACTTTTCAGTTTACTGTAGAATTAGCAAAATTATTGGAAGGGGTACATGTACAACCCCCTCTCCAGGGTTCCTATGTCCATTGAAATAAATAGGAAATCACTGCTCCCCATTGTTCTCTCAGACTATCGTGATTTATGTATTTATAGTTATCCATCAAAACAAGATGGTTATGGTATCATAATAATTTTATTTAATTAATACAATTTTCAGTTAACCGTTGACTTTCAGTAAGGTGTGGCATTCTCTGCACTACGTAATAAGCGTATGTCAAATGGTTAATAGATTCTCATTGGTTAAGAAATTAATAACATCAAGAACTTTAAATTGTTGTTGACAATGATGAAACAACTTAAACCCCACCTCTTTGTCTTACGAGACGATATTATTGGTTACTAGTAATTGCTACACTCGTTGACATTGGCCTGAATTTCTATCCCATGTATATTTCAAAAGTGAATGAAAGCTGTGTAAAATTCAGATGCTAATTAAGTGACGTCGAGAATGCCACGCTTGAAAGTCCAAGATTTACTGACAATTGTACTAACTAATCCCAGTGGCCTTAAACACCCAATTTTATGTTAACGCCCCCCAAAATCTACCTGATTCAAGATCAATAATTTACTGCCTGTCAATCATTAAAAAAACAATAGCTTCTGATTTGATTGACAGATCAGCTACCAGTGCTACCTGATAATCTGAGTTTGCATGTTTTGAAGACAGTTGCTTTCCTATATTGAGCTCAAAAGAACAAGAGCATAAATTCATACCTTTTCTCTGTGTGACTGTGTAATACTTTTGTTTTATGGTATATTAAAAAGCATAGGAACTTGTGCACTAACATTTTATGTCATAACTCCTGATAGCTTAAAAAGACCCCTATTATTTTGGAGGTCAAAAGGCAAAGCAAGGATGTTAAAGGTTATGGTCATCATTTCATACATTGCAATTTTTCCAGACTACAACTTGAGTTTTCTTCGAGCTTTTTTCAATAAAATTTAGTATTTTGCAATGATATTTTATATTAAAAATCTCCATGACCTTAAAGTGGCAAAAATTTTTTTTATGTCAAATGTCAAAGTCAGAAATATACATTATGCATAGTTTTTCAAAGAGCTTTTTTAATAAAACTAGTTCACAAATCTCTTATATTTGAATTAGAAAGTGACTCCTGTAAGAACAAAAAATTAAGGTTGACGTTTTTTTGTCTGCATATATTTCCGGTTTTTCCATCCTCTTTTTTTCCCTAAAGCTGGGGGATAAATTCTATGAATTAGCTTTGTTTAACTAAAAGCCTTTTGCATTTTATATTTTCGTTTGCCGTAGTCAAAGAAAGAGTAAACAAGAGGCCCAGGGGCCACAGCGCTCACCTGAGCACATCGGCCAGGAAAAAGCACATATCAGATCAGAACTGAAAGTTTACTGAGGTCGGGTTGGGGGGGGGTGGGGGGGCTTAAATTTTAACCCCACAGGGGATCATGATTTGAACATGCTAGAATCTACACTACCTGAGGATTATTCCATATAAATATTACTAATCATGCTTTGAAGTACTTGAAAAGAAGATTTTTAAAGACTTTTTCTACATATTTCTATGTAAAACTTTGGTTGGCCATTTTGGCCCCGCCCTACCCCCGGGGGTCATGATTTGAACAGACTTGAATAAAGACCTCCTGATAATACTTACAAAGAAGTATGAACAATTGTGGCTGTGTTATTCTTGAGAAGAAGATTTTTAAAGAATTTTCCTATCTATTTCTTTTATGTAAAACTTTAAAGTGGTCGAGGTGTTTTGCCCCCCCCCCCCCCTAAAAATTGCCCCCCTGGATTGTTAATGAAAACCTTTGGATATCAAAAAAGAAAAATTCGTCATGATTTGAAAAAACTTGATTATTTGATATATTCAGTTGTCTACCTGTGAGGATGCTTCCATATAAATATGATCAATCATGGCTTTGCTATTCTTGAGAAGATTTTTAAAGAATGTTTTGGGATATATATATTTCTATGTAAAACTTTGGTTTCACCATTTTGGCCCCGCCCTACCCTGTAGGTCATGATTTGAACAAACTTGAATCTACACTACCTTATTTACACGGCATTTTTCCCCATAAATTTCATCTATCCTGGCACAGTGGTTCTTGAGAAGAAGATTTTTAAAAGATACCACCAAATTTTCATTAATTCCCAATCATCTCCCCTTGAATGAGGACGTGGCCCTTCATTTGAACAAACTTTAATCCCCTTCACCCAAGGATGCTTTGTGGCAAGTTTGGTTGAAATTGACCGCAGCGGTTCTTGAGAAGAAGTCGAAAATGTGAAAAGTTTTTCAACGATAAAACCACGTTCCGACAAACGTAAGTTTGATTGTAATCAGAAAAGCTACTAAAAACTTGTCAGGTGAGCTAAAAAAAAAGCAAGACTGACCATGGGTTTCCCACGATGCTTTATATTATAGAGCATCTGAGTGTTACGGGATTTTCTTGATCCAACCATATTTATTCATTAATTGTCCTTTCTTGCTACACTGTCATGATCTAAAAAAGTGAAATTACTATTAGTAAGTAGTTGATTAGATTTACTAGTTTATGAACTTGTACTTTGCCTCCTCGCAATGCCATAAGCCCTGGGTCAACATGTTGCCGTTGGACGTTTGAAAACCCACCCTTCTCCTGCTTATAAGTGAACTCGCAAAGGTGAAGCTTCAGTAGAACAAGTCTCATATGACGAGGTTAGCTTGTGAGCAAGGTCATTTACCATCTTGTGTACAACAAGTGTTTATGGTAAGAATTAATTTAACTTTTTTCATTATGTATATAATTTTTAATTTAGTAACATTAAGTTTCTTGAACATTCCAGAACTGGTCAACAAGTTTTTGGTCATTTTATCTACCTTGAAAAACATTCTAATAATATTTTGTATATGTCCAGATTGTTTCCACACAGAAATATATTATCATGTTTTAACAATTTCACAGCGTTTTCGTGAGAATATTCTAGATTTTTTTTTATAATACTGTATAAATACCTTCTGTCTCAATTCAATGCATATACAATAATTGTTTTTGAAAGATACTTTGTCGTATAAGCACTATTGAGATATAACTGGGATATATTTTCACTGGGACATTGTGTGCAGAAAAAACCTTTTGCACACACTCTGATGTATGTATTTTTAGAACACACGCACTAAGTTTATTGTACTTTATGTTTCATATACTTATTATAAACTACTGTAAATAAATTATTGTTAAGTTTAAATTGTGTTATTGATCTTTGCTGGCATTTAGGGTAATTCTGACCCATAACACAAGCAACATCATTTGGGTGAAACAGTTTAAAAGCGAACCTACAAGACAAAATGTAACGTTAGAAAATGCAACATTTGCATCTTCCGTGCTTTTTCCGATATATATAAGTTGATATTAATTAAGAGGCTTTTTAAAACACCATGAATATACATGCATGGTTACCATCAAATTATATTTATTTTTCCTTAAACCTTGGATCTAAGTTTATGTTTTACACATGAACATCAACGCATGTTCATGTGTTTGTTATAAAGAAGATATAAATATTCCATGTTCTTGGAAATGCACGACAACAATGCCACTTGTGTATGAATTATTACTTATTAACGTTGTCTTGATGAACAAGATGCGATAAAAATGGCGCTCGATGGATGTTT